GGCTCCCTGCTCGGCGGGGAGTCTGCTTCTCCCTCTGACCCTCTTCCCTCTCGTGCTGTCTCTCATTCTCTCTCTCTCAAATAAATAAATAAAATCTTTTAAAAAAAAAAAAAAAAAAGTGATCACTGAGCACCAAGAAGCCCATTTGTCCCTAAGTCTCAGTGGCCATGCCTAACTTGCTCTCCATCCCTGCTAAGCAGAAGCTGCCTCCATATCTGGTGACGACAACCTGGATGATGACTACTTACTCTGAAGTTGGCTTCCACTGCTTCAGCCGCCTGCTTTGCCGCGTGAGTGCAGCTCTCCTCAGTCTGCAGCCACCGGAAAGTAACAAGGGTGACCACCGGGGCCTTGCCTTCTCTCTGCCCTAGCCTGTCTGAACACTGCTCTGCAGCTGAGCTCCTGCAGCTTCTCTCTCAGGCTGAGCCCGTTCAAGCGTGTTGTGTCTCTGTGTATTTGTGTCTTTGGCAGGATTTGGCCCAGGATTTGGTGCCTGGAGAGAGGAGCCTATGATAAAAGAGATCTGTGCAGTCCTTCCTCTGTTAAATACACGATCTGGCTTGCTGTGGACCGAATGCTTTCCCTCCTTCTGTTGGACCACCAGAAAGAGTGCGGGGTAGAGGGGGACAAGTACATGTTCCCGCTCCACCCACCCGACCCTGTCTTCTTCCAGAGTTTGCTTCCAGGCTGCTCAACATCTGGCTTACTGTTTTCTGCCAGGCATTGATCTATGCTTCCGCAAGGCTGTGTCCTTTTTGAGCCTGGGAAGCAGCCAGGGTTTGGTCACTGGAAGTGATGATTCTGCAGACTTCTGACTCACCTCATCGGGTGACTGTTAGTTAAAGGAGGTCTTTGGCAAACTCAAAGACTGCAGTTGAGTCAGGAGGCAGAGGCAGAAATCAGTATAATTCTATTAAAAAGCCTCAGGAAATGGGAAGAGAACACTGCCTCCCAGCCTTAACTGCTGATATGTTATTGGAGATAGGTTTTTTAAACAGTTGCTCCAGCTATTTCCCTGTAAACTTTGGTTAAAATACAAGCAGACAAGGAGAGAGCAGCTCTGGAAATGTTCTAAAGTGCTAGTGTAATATCTGTATGTGTACGGACATCCATAGAGTGAAAGAGAACTTATATAGCTGTTTGAATCATTTGGGGGATTCTTTGCTGAATAAAGTTCTCAAGAAAATTATCTAAAACTAAATGTTGGTTGAATCAAGGTGGAAGCAGGCCTGTGGGTATCTTCTAAACCTAAACCTGGTAGAATTTGTCACATGCTTCACAGGGATGGCCCATCTTTGAAACAAGTGACCCTCTCATGCACAGATCCTATCCTTTCCCTAAAGTTACTTCAGAATTAACCATTCAGTAAGAACCAGACCAATTTAGGTTTAGGTTATATAAATAAGAACCCACCGGGGTTTCTGGTGGCTCAGTCAGTTAAGCATCTGATTCTTGATTTCAGCTCAGGTCGTGATCTCAGGGTCTTGAGAGCAAGCCCCGCCTTAGGCTCCTTGCTCAGCTGGGATTCTGCTTGAGATTCTCTCCCTCTGCCCCTCCCTCTCCCCTTCCCCACCCCATACCCCCCCACCCTACTCACATGCATGTGTACTCTCTCAAGTAAAATCTTAAAGACCCTACCCAAACTAGATATTTGGAAGAAGAGGCCTGGGTTCTGGCAGATCTCTACTATGTGAACTTACTGTAAGACCTTTGGGAGCCATGTCCTCATGTCTCCCCGCATTGTGGGCAGTAGTGTGCGGCCAGTGAGCGCTGTGAAGGGACTTGGAAGCAGACATTATAAGCAGCAATGTGGGTGGTGGATTAATGGCAAATGAACAGGGCTTTTTAAGGATCAGTAAGGTGAACTGCAAAACTTAAAACTAGAACATAAGGATGCCTTATGCAGGGTTTTAAATCTAGGAATTAGGCCTTCCATATACTGCATGGTGACTATGTTTTCCCATAGCCACAATTTTCAAAGTATATTTTCTCAGAAAAATCTCAGTACCATTTAGCAGAAAGGCTCCAGTGAAGGAGCATCTCTGATGAGTAGCTTGTGGGGTCTTGGAAGAATCAGTGAAGGACTGCCATTTGATCTGGCAAGGTTTCAGACCTTGGTTGCAGTGAACCCACCCCTGAAGCAGGCTTGGCCCTGGGTTTGGTGCTGCTCAGCAACCAGGTCATGAGGCCCACTAGTTACCAGGCTCCTTGGCCCCTCGGCAATTACCCTTAAGTAGAGGGGTCCCTGATATAAATCATTCATAGGACTTGGTGCTCAGGAAAATGAGTGGTGCCTCATTCCTGGCTGCAGTCTGTTACTGTGAATGCTAAGTCTGTCCCTTTAATGCGGATTTTAAGTCTTGCCAATCAGATGGGTTCCTTATTCTTTCAACACAATCCTGTACTTTTCTTGCTGTGTGGAATGTCCTCTTCTATGCTTACTTCTCATTTTGTCTGTTGAAATCCTCCCCTTGAGCCAAAACTGTGGGATCCAGGTACCTTCTTGGATTTCCTCCACATCCAAAGAGAAGGAATTAGTATTTCTCTAACTTGAACTGAAATATATGGACGAAAATCTCCCAACAAGGCTTAAGTCTTTCTGAATTCCATAGTGCCTGGTTTTTGCTCTTGGCAAGTACTCAGTAAAGGGTTAGGATAAGTAAATGGCTTTGGGAGTAGGGGGGAAGGCAAAGAAACCTAAAATCCTTGGCTCCCTTCCCTCTCTGGTGCAGGGCCCTCTGATTTTTTTTTTCCATCATTAAATGTTTATCCTGTAGTGAATTCAGCTCTATAAGGGTCCTGTTCCACTCTAGGCACTCGCTTTCCTGCCAAAAAATAGTGAACATTTGACGATTGCATAACCAACCCTGCCTTCCCCCCCCAAGAAAAGTGAACGCTTGAGGATTGCACTACCCTTTATTCCTAAGATGGAAGGTGTCCTGAATCACATCCTGGTTCCCATTTATCAAGTTCCCATTATCCCCTCAGCAGGAATAAGTATGTTCAGGGAGGCTCACTGGAGAGGTGGCCAAGGTCCCTTTCAAGGGGATACACCATAAAGATGACATTGTCCCAGGGAGGGAGGGCAGGGTGATCGGGTCTGACCAACTCAAAGCCCATGTAGCTGAAGGCCCGTAGCAGGGCACCTGTGAAAAGAGAAAAAAAAAATAGAAAACACTCTGAGGCTCCATACAACTATTCCCCCCAGATTTGGCTTCTTTCACTGGGGAGTGGCTGGGGGAAAGCCGTGTAGTGTAGGCATTAGGGTGACGTGTTGTGGACTAGCTGACTTAGACTCCAACCATGGTTCTAACATTTACTTACCTTTGTAACATTCTACAAGTTAACCTTTCTGAACTTCAGTTTTCTCATATGTAAGATGGGGATCATAGAACCTTCCTCACAGAATTTAAACGAGCTGATGTTTAGGAAGCCCAACACAATGATGGTGTAGTAAACTCTTGACCATCTTCTGTCTTCTAACAGAGTATGAGGGAAGAGGTGGTTTCTGCAACATGTGCTCCAAGCATCTGGGTAAATATATTCCTATCCTCCTGGCCCTGTGTTGAACCCCTTCACATTGTAGGTGCTTAATATGTTTGAGGTCCTTTCTGTCCCACCAGCTACATGCCTTGAACGGTTCTGTGTTAATTTCACTAGTGCTTCTTCAGTCTGGCTTCTGACCTCTACCTGCAGGGCCTTCCTCATAATCCCAGTGTAATTTGAATGCACAGAGTGCTCGGTGCCTTCATTTCCTTGCGGGGGGAAGGGGGTGGTTAAATCCCTGAAATGCCTATGAGCACGTTCTCTTCTAAAGAGTGGGGGAAGAGAGTCTCCTACAAAGGAATAAGTTGCTGTCAGCTGCTTCAGCACCATGGGCCAGGAAGGACAGCCGATCCCCACCTCTGTCATTCCGGTTGTTTTGGAAGTTTACGAACACAGAGTCCACATTGGTCTTCTCCTCCACATACTCCAGTGTTGCAGTCAAACTAGGGGCCAGAGGGAAGAATCATGGTTAATATTTAGTGAACTAAAAATCCAGACCCCTACGTGGAGTAGAAGAAACCTTATTGTTCCATTTTTCCTGACCTAAGCCAGGAAGTGAAAGTTGATGAACTTGCATTGATAGATTGTCCTCTGAAGGCCAGGGATTGTACACAATAAGACTGACACCTGAAGGGGCCTGGGGAGAAGGAACTGCTATATAAAGACAAACAGCTGGAAGGCACGTCCTATTACTCAACTATTTAAGGATCCTCACTTCTGTGTTTCTGAATCGGAGTCCAGCAACCTCCCATGGGCCATGACTCCTCGAAGCCCAGATTTTGGCTCAGCTCATGGGCTTGTTTGCATGCCAGTTCAGTGGTGTGAAAGTATCTAGCTTGTTAATCAACCCTCAGTGGCTAGCATACCCACTACCTGATTATGACATAAAAGAAGGAAAGCCCCTGCCTCTTCCCCTCTCCCCCTCCTTCCCTGCTTTCCCATCTGGGCTCAGTCACCTTTCTCGGTTGCCTTGATCCAAGGCCCGATATGGGATATCCAGGAAGAGTCGATGGTCACAGAGAAGGCCGTGCCAATGGGCAGAGGTCTGGGGGGTGAGGCGGAAATGGAAGTCTAACTGCACTGGGTCCTGATGGAGCAGGGGGTCAGTAGCCAGCACCGTCAGGTTCCCAGCCTGGAAGAGGAATAAGAGAGTAATAGTCTTCTCTTCTCATCTCGACCTCAAATCAGATTGCAGGCTGATTAACTAGGTCTGAGAAAGCTAACGGGGAGCTGACAGGGAGCCTGGGAGAATTGGAGCCAAAGTCTTTGTCCCTTAGTTCTAGGACCAAATTCTCTATCGTGGAGCTTTCCTTGATATCAAACAGTCTAGAAAGGAGTCAGTGCAGTGGCAGTATTACTGCCTGTTAAGGCGCATCAACCCTTCAGAAACTTACATCAGAGGGCTGCTTCTTTAAACGATGCTGTGTCATTTGTTTACTGCCTCACTGATAATGCTCTTCCACTTTTTTCCATGATAGGGGTTTTGTCTGAGTTCTATTTCTCTTTTAAAATGTAGAGGTCTACAGGCATGTTACTGCAGCAGGATAGAGGGGCAAGTTGAGTAGTTCTGGTTTCTAGTCCCTGCTTAGCAGCGAAACAGCTTTATGTCCCAGAAGTCTTACTACATTCTGCTCTTTGTTCCCACCTCCTCTTTTCCCGTTAAACTTTTCACCACCAGCTCTATGATCTTGACTTAATATCTCTGGGCCAGAATCCTTGTTTCTAAAGCAACTAGCGGTTACA